CATAATTAAAAACAAACAATGTATTCTAATCTTTATAAGTAAGAAGTAAGAGCAGATGATGTTTATATTTGATCTAAATAGGTAGGTTGCTCAGATCTCGGATTAGAAGTTAATAAATCTCCGTGTAAAGATGTTCCATACATCAATGAAAACTAATGTATATAGAAAACATATTACCTGCCATTATCCTTTACGACCTACCGTGTTTTGCTTATGTCATTTAGGCTGTTTGCTCAATAGCAGAAGAAATTTTTGATTATTTCTTTGTCCCTGTTTGATGCTTTTATGCGCCTTCAAAAATATCGTTTATGCCATTCAGATGTATAAAGCTGATAATGAGAATACTCCAAGAAGTATTAGTTTTAGTCAATGTAATGTCCACAACTCAGGTGTATGATAGTTGGCGAGATCAAAACCCTCTTGAAGAATAATTTAGTTAAATATAAAATAGGTTTACTTTTTAGTTAAATATATAATAAAAATGATATGAATGCACAGTCAAGAAAAATATGATAGAATCATCTTCATGTATCTGAATAGCACATCTATTCATTTAAGCTTATTTAATGGTAAAACTCTCTCTATTATACAAAACCAAATACTTATCAATTTAGTTGTAATTAAATTAGGAAATATCTGCAAAAAATCATATAATTTCTATAATACATCTTTTGAAATTTGTGTGCAATAAATATGTTGTTTCCAGTTCTTTATTTGTATTGAACAACAAGAAAGAATGATGTTTATTTAGCAAAAAGTAATAAAAACTTTCAAAAATTAAGTGTGATGTAAGGATGGCAATGCCAAAAAGTACAGAAAAAAGGTAGGGATGAATGCAAAACCCATAGAAAATTACTACAGAAGTAGCCAAATAACTTTTGTCTACAAATAAATGTTGAATTCTTGTCAGTTGTGTGAATCCAGGTTTGAATAAAAGCATTTAAACTGAGTTGTGCTATATAGTTTTACAGTGGCTAATGACCATAAGCTTTTAAGACTGATTCAGTACTTACTGGCTACTTATGTCGGGATTTTTGTGTATTCATTCCTCCCTCGTTCCTGAACTTTTTGGCTTTGCCATCTCTACATCATACTTAATTTTTTCCAAAAATGTTTTATTACTTTCCCTCTTTTTTAACAATTTCATGGAACAAGGTTGGTAAGTGAACATTTGTTCTATTTTTATAATTCATTGGTAATATATATTGTTATTATCATACCACTTTGTCAGTTTCTTTAATTTGGATTACATTGAGGGCCAGTGAAGCTGGAATAATTCCTCCAGGATGGTACAAGTACCAGAGAGTATTGGACCGATATTAAAGAGATATTTACAGAACCACGCCTTCCAACTTCACCCCAATTCACTGTATGTGCATACAATCGACTCCACCATATGTTAAGGTCATATTGATCAGTAGGGAGGAAATCATACAGATCCCAGGCAATGAAGTAATATACAACGCATACACACACAGCTGCCATGCTTGAACCACTAAAAATTTGAAGAAAGTAGACCATTATACAATGGACTGTTTTGATAATTAAGAAAGTGGTGTCTTAAAACTCAGAGATTAATAACATGTACACAGATCTGTCAGTTGCATAAATACTTGATCTCCTTGATACCCTGAATATTAATTTAGATTATTCTGTCTTTATTTTTACTGAAATTGTTTTGGCAGATATCATGATTGTGCAATGAAAAGTCACAAATGGTCTTTGTATAAGAACAATTTGTGCTGCCATCTAGCGACAAGAAATAAAAATGTTATTTATGAAGCAGAGAAATAATTTATGCTTATAAACTGAATTCACTGCTAAGTAGTAGTTTTTCTTTCTTATTATTTCCTCACAATAATACGTGTGGTAGAAGAACAGATTAATATCACTGCCATACAAGCTGTGAAACTCCATAACGACAATTAGGTGCTCAACCAAGGCCATAACTCAACTTTATCAGTTGTTTGTAAGCATTATAGAATAATAGATTGAATGTGGTGGCCATTTTTTCCCAGCCCATCACTACATACTAAACATTACGTGCTTAGCGATAAAATGTTAATTTATCTTCAAGTTTAAGCTTGAGCTATGTTCTTGTGGCTTAATAAATGTTGTCTCTTAAGTGTTTAATCCTTTGAAGTTTAACTCTTTATCGTTTTTAATCATGTAAAATTATTACTATCTAAGTTGTGCACATTTCTTGAAAGCAGAGGCAACTCCTTAGAGCTGTCGGTCCATGTGCAGAGCCACCGAACATCTTGTAATAGAGCAGTAAAACCCAGAATTACAGTTCACAGAGTTGAAGATGATAATGCCCAAGTAAAGCAGGTGAGATTGGGGTTCTGTATTACTGGAAACTGAAATTATTATCAATAGAGTTGAAACGAACACTTCCTTTTGTTTGCTGCAGTTGAAATAAAATAATTCATTTTATCCACTACAGTTCAAATGAAACAATTCATTTGTTAAGATTTCCTGCAATATTGACTTGGAAGAAGTTATAAAAGGATAATCCTGTATTTACATACGAAAGATAAAAGATAACCTTGAGAAAATAGTTTGAAACAAACTCTTTCTCTTTTTTTCTTTACAATGTATCAGTTATTTTTGTTTTTACGAAAACTGATTTTTTTTAATTTGTTCAGATACATTATAGTAAAGTAACTCGAAGCAGTGTATATGTTTGTCATCTACATACTAAATAAATAAATAAATATGTATATTCAAATGATGGTGACCACATACCATGTTGTGACCAGATTAACCGGGTTATGTTATACTACGTGCTTTTCAGCATATGGTAACAGTATATGTTAGGTAATTAATACATCATATTACTATAGCCTTGTTTACATATATGTTATATGACTGCTTCATCCTGCACGTTACTATGTATGAGAGCTCTTATTTGTTTTATTTGACTGACACACCGCGTTCGTTGTCATATACGCTAACAAACGTATGCATAAAAGCACTTCTCTATCTTTTGAATGACCAAGAGGCTGTAATAAACCAAAAATCAGGACTCTGGATAGATGAAGTAGATTCTTAGGATTTAAGACAGTAGAGAATGGTGACAAGAACACAAAGTGGCAGATAAAAGAACTATTCCTCTACAAAGGAAAATTAAGATTTATTGCATAATTCAAAAATTAATTTTTAAAAGAATTTTTAAAAAGAACGGTAGATAACTTATATGATTAACAATGTTTATCTAATGTAGATAAATGCTTTCACATTTAAGTTTCTTATATGTTAAAGATACAACGAATACTTCATTGACAGTTTTACCCTTTGATCTCCACCAAAATGCAACACCAAGTGAGTGCATAATGATTAGTTTTCTACAGCTCTTGAAAACAAGATATGAAAAATTGAAGGACAAAGACTATTAGTCGAGTTTTTCTGTGCTAATGCGACTTGGAAGCTGGTTCTTTCATACTGTAGCCAAGGCAATGTAAAACTGAATGAAGTTGGCATCTCTACCATACATACACGTGAACCTCAAGCGAATGCACTGGACACTAGAAGATATTGGTTTTGTTATGATTAGCAGAAGTAGCTTACTATACCTGTTGCCATAACTCAGGATAGTTAAAATTACTATACAACAAAGATAACAGTATTGCGCTTATTAGGATTTTAAAATTAATTGGAAATTACGGAGAACTCTGGAATATTTATTGAAAATCACATAATACAGTAACGATAATATCTCTTCAGAAATTAATGTATAATATTATGACCTTAAGCAAGTTACTATCTTGCATTTTGGACTGAATTCCTGTCGTTTGGGTTCCTTTTCTTAATGCGTCGAAATAAAAGACGTTTTTATAAAACGTTGAATTTCCTTGATATATCTACAGGGATATCGTAAAGTAAGTTAGGCTATTCTAATATCCATTAATCAAAAAACGAATCATCAGCACCCAAAAGATTACTACCAGATACGTTAATCACAAACTTCGCATAGCCAACATATTAACACTTTTTGATATAACCACCATTCTCGCCCTCTGTTGTTTAAATTCATGAGAGAACATGATACACAGATGAACAATAATGTTTTATTTTCAACACATGTACTTTACTCGTGTATATATTTCAGACTTTTCAAGATAGTTGTCGCGTCGCGATAAACCAATAGTTTAAATTGTTTTTCTTTCTGTCATTCATATGGGAACCAACCACTCCGAATTTTATACAGTACTATCTGTGAGTCATATGCAAATATTATGTCTATTTTTGGTTCATTGTTTTCATCAATCTAGATGGGGAGCTTGCTTTATGTCTTCTAGACCCATCCTTGTGTTGCTATGGGAAGTTTGAATGCTCCACTAGCTTTATGTAGTATGTTATTGTTTCAAGAGGCGATGAGTATCCAAAAAACTGTATCACTATCTTTAGTGTATGAATAAGTTGTGGCTATGACCTTAAGTTATTGTCCACCATGGTCTTGAAGTAAGTGCTGACAAGTTGTTCTACTTCAACCTCAGCACATTCTCCACATTTTCTGTCTAGGCTGACATCCACAGATCTTAGTGGTGCTAAATGTTTATTTCACATTGGGAGATCTGAGATACGATGGTGATAAATCATCTCACTGGTAGCTTTAGAGAACCTGTATACCTATTGCTGTCTCCTGAGGTTCTTTTTTAGCCAATATTCTGTGTGGTTGGTATATGTGTGGTAGTTGTGGAGTTCGAATGTCACAATTGAAAAGGGCTGTGGTTTGATGCTGGAATGCATGGTCTTTACACTGCTAAGCTCTATTGAAAAGTTATAGGTGTGTCTGAAGTGCATCTTTGACCACTCTTATACAGGTGATTTGTATATTTTCAATACTGTCTAACTGCAGAGCACTGATTTATTGCGAGCGCATAATCCAGAATGGAATAGATAAAATTTTGGTAGAACATAAACAGATGCTGAAACTTCAGTAACCTGATGTCCTTGGTATCTTTGATTATCATAGTGTTACTGTAGCTGGTGAAGTTCAGTTGTATGTCAAAATTAAAACCTAGGCACTTCAGTGTTTCTTCTAGAGTGATATCAGTGCCAACAAAGAATGATGAGAGTTTTTCCTCATAAGTATTATCTGTTGTTGAATGTACGGAACATGGTTGTGGCGTTGGAAAAATTGGAGATCATTCCTTTGTCACTGCACCATTTGCTCACAATTCTAAGGGATGGTTGCATCTTGTTTTCGATTTCAGCTTTGCTTAACATTAGAATGCCATCTCAAATGTTAGCACGCGGGATTTGATTGGACTGTCAAGGTGGACTAAGTCCATGGTGTAGATGTTGAAAAGTACTGGCAAGTGCGGCGATTCTTGAGACAAACCATTATTCATGGTGATCTATTCTGATTGCTAGATTCCATGCTTCAGGGATGCATCTTCTGGTAGTTATGCACCTATGATCTATCACACACATGTCACACTGAAGCGTATTTTGAGCATTTTGTTACCAAACATGGTCAAGTGGATTTTATTGTAGGCATTGTCAAGATCGAAAGCAACTGCTAACGTGTTCTAGGCAGCTTAAAATCATTCCTATGAATCAGCTGATTATTAAACAACGTGTTTTGGCAAGCTTAAAAGCATTCCAATGTATCAGCTGATTATTCAACAACGTGTTTTGGCCAGCTTAAAAGCATTCCAACGTATCAGCCGATTATTCAACAACGTGTTTTGGCCAGTTTCAAAACATTCCAATGTATCAGCTGATTATTCAACAACGTGTTTTGGCCAGTTTCAAAACATTC